CTTGTTAATCTGTCTTGTAGCCCTGAAATGCCAATCTCCTGTTTGTGTAACAAGCATAGCTTGCCATATTCATTCCTTTAAAAGGCTTTCAGTGCTTCAGAACGTAATCACAAAGACACTTGTTATTATTGAAAGGGTCTCAAACCGATACAACGATCTGTTTGTTTTCCAAACAGAGCATGGTGCCAAACATTAGCTTCAGTTGTCCTTTTCTTAGTACTGTGGCCATGACAATATAAACGTAATATTTAACTGTATTGAAAACAACACTATTGCTTTCAAGGAGTGTGCCAAAGTGTGTCCCAAGGGCTAGATACAGCACACAAACCCAACTTTTTGAACTTCCCACCCCTTACAAATTGGGGAATTATTGGAAGAGGATATAAATTAGGTCTTTGGAAGCCTTATTTCAAAACAGGAAGCAACTGGAGCAAGATTTTCATTTTCTTGAACATTTAAAAAATGATCTTCATAGATCTTAAAAGGTTAAGAGGGGAGATTGAAATGTAGCTAAATGACAGAAGTTACATTGGTTATTTGGGAGCAAAGGATTGTTTTAACCTCCATTTGGAGGTGTACATGAAGGTGGCAAGGTGTAGGGGTTCAGCCTGTAATTGTCTCTTTCCCTCTGGCTTCTGAGGAAAATGATCAAAGTTCTGCAAAGGATTCTACGTCTGAGACTGCAGAGCTTTCAATGTCTGAGTTAGATGATCAGATTTCTGCTGACTCTCAGGAGTTTGTGAATAGAGATGATGGTCAAGAGAGTACTGTTAGCCAGAGTGAAACTGAGGACTCTGGGATAGCTGGCCAGCAGATGCTTTGTTGCAGGCAGACAAGGAGGGCGAGGGAAATGTTGAACAGTCAAGGCCAGATAGTGAAGGAATGCAGTAATTGGCACACCGAGGGAGTCAGGCTTTGACCAGAGAAGCCAGATATATCAACATTGCCACCTGGAATTAGGGAAGAGGCGATCAGAAAGATTGAGAGAGAAAAGAGACCAGGGAGAGGTTTCCCAAGGGAAACGGAATGCTTTTGCCATGGCTTTGTGAATAAATATAGGGCTGTGCATCTATGGTCTTTAATGAGTCCAACGTTTAGTTTTCATGTACAACCAAGTCTTCCACTTCATGTCTTGTATTCATGCCTTCATGTTCATGCTGAGATTCCTTTATGGTTCTTGCCTTGGATTCATGTTCATGCTAAGATTCCTGTATGCTGTTCGTCGTGGATTCAAGTTCCTGCCTTTGGATTTATTGGTTCAAGTTTGCTTCTGTTTCTTCAAGGGGTTTAGATTTCTTGGAACCTCTTGGAACTGAAAGACTCTAATTCCTGTGGACTTGTGTATTGGACATTGGGATTTTCCTGTTTCCTGACTTGGATAATGACTGGATTGTTTACATTGCTCAATTGGCTGCCTTATGACTGCTCAATTGACTGCTGGTGTTTTGGAGGAAAGTGAAGACCTGGCTGTTCGAACAAGCATTTGATTAAACAGTGTAATTGAACATAGGAATACGGAATAATGGATGTCGAGACTGGATTCTGATTTTACTGTTGAGGCGCTAATGATTGTTATACTGATGTTAATGATTTATGTGATAATTGTTTTTAATTGCCCTATAGTTGTTTTGTGATATTTTGTACTGATGTTGTTCACCGCTTTGAGTCGCCTAAGGGCTGAGAAAAGCGGTATAGAAATAAAGTAAATAAATAAATAAATTATGGATATTTCACTATTACTTGTTTGAATACCTTTTACCTATTGCTATATTATTTTTCAATAAACTGCTTTGTTTATAAGAAATTTGATGGGGTTTTGGCTTCAAAGGTACCTTCCCCAGCCCTGGTGTGCAACACAAGAGACTGGTGTGCTATTAGCATACAATTTTTATCACATTTGTGAAATACAATACATCCACTAATGTTTATACTGTTAATTCATTTGGTGGAAGAAGGAAGGAAAGATTGTGCTTCTGGGATAGAAATAATACTGATTAGGGGCACAGGGGCCCTGCAACATAAAAACTACAGACTTTAAAATTGCTATTTTTTTTACCTTATTGAACACCTATCTATGAATCTCTGGGTCCTCCAGCATGATTCTGTGGTCAATGTTTGGCAAACATCTAAAAATTGGGTTGTTGTAGGTTTTTCGGGCTATATGGCCATGTTCTAGTCGCATTATCTCTTGACGTTTCGCCTGCATCCATGGCAGGCATCCTCAGAGGTTGTGAGGTCTACAGATGCTTTAAAAAGAACACTGTAATCAAACCGTCGAATAGTCAAATCAGCATGTGTCAAATTTGCAAATTGGGAGAGTTGACTGACTATATAGGTGTGTGTGTTTCACTATTTTTAGTCAGAAGAAAGATAGTTTGATAGTATAGCAAAAGTTAAGTAATTTTTAGATTCTGTTCTTTAGTTTGGAGAGCAGAAAGCCAATTTTGATGCATTTTTTTGTAGTCAGGTGATAGTTTTGTTTTTGGTGTTTGTGGTCTTAGACCACCTAGGTCAGTGGAGATGAGAATCAGCCCCACAGCAGCCAAATGCCACGTAGGGTTGTTCACTGACCTGAGTTCTTTGGGGAGATATGGTGATATATAAAGAAAGTATTATTATTGTTATTATTGGGTAATGCAGGCTGATCACTTTAACACAGTCGGTTACCCAAAGTCAGGGTAAAGTCCTAACTCTGCCCCAGATTTTGAGCTTTCCCCACATGTAGGGTGTATGGGAACCGGTGGACTGGTTCCCAAATGGGAGGGGCCACCATCTGCATGTTTCCGGGCTTAGGTGGCCTGTGGACACAATGGTAATTGCCACTCCCCTCGGGCTCTTGTGTTGCATCCATCTCCAGCCATGACATGGACCCTCTCTGTTCCCCTTGCTTGCCATGATGTTTGTTGGGGCAGCAGAGTGAAGGCAGGAGAGATTTGAGGTAGGGGTCCTCCTCTTTCACTCCCTTAGTGCCCTATTACCCTGGCTCCAGAGATCAAGTAGGGACCACATTGTAGCTGAATCTCATGCTGAATCTCATGCATTGTAGCTGAATCTCATGGGAGGCTGGGGGGGGGGGCAGTTAGGGTGGCCAGCCAGTAGTACCGAACTGCATTTGATGCTGCTGAGCCATGGGATTCCCTCCCACCTCCACAGAGGCTGGGAGAGTCCATATGGGGACTAAACCTGGGGATAATCCAGTGTCCAGCACACCAGTGGATCAGTGTAGATCCGCCCTTATATGAGTAAATTATAATATGTCACAGTCACTTTTTAAAAATATTTTTCCATATATTCTCATAACATTCTGATGATTCCTGTTTTCATATCCTTTACATTTCTATATTTATCTACTACTTATACTTATCAATACCCTTTCCCTTTTCCTCCCTCCCCCTCCCTCCAGGAACAGTTGTACCTCTGATCTTCATATTTTATTTGTTTGAGCATGGAGATTGTCTGATTCAATTCCTTATATTGTTCTTTCCCGTTTACTCTGGCTATAAGCTCTTTCCATTTCAAGTCCACCCTTAGTGTTTACTGTTGGTGTTTATGTATTGGCAGTGACTTGAAAGGTAGTTGTTTAGCATGTATTTGTAAGGAATTGTTATTTGTTGTGGGGTTTTTTTTGTAAAATTAAAAAAAATAATTAATTATGTGCCATTGTGGTTGTCAGCTTCCTGGTTCTGACTGCCAACTTTGATATGTGAACACAAGTGCTACCCATAAACATAACAGAGAGGACAGAGAACAATTAATGGATATATCAGAAGATCTGGAAGAGGCTTAAGTTGTATGATCTATGGTAGAAACTCAATTTCTTCCATATCTTCAGTGCTGGTTTCACAGTATTGTGTTCTGTTATTGGCTTTACAGTAGTGTGCTCTGCCATTCACAGCTAGCACATTCACAGCTGGTCAAGGCAATGCTCTCAGATGTTTTTGTAGTTTTAGTTTTTGTCCCTAACTCAACAATCCATCCCCATCTTTCCCTGACTTTCCTATTTTCTTTCTTTTTAAACCCATATTTGTAATAAAATCTTAATAAAAATTATTTTTAAAAGATGTTTCTGTAGTGTAAATTCCTGAATAGTTCCATGAGAATAACTACAATCATATCTGTTCAAATTCCCAAACTTCGGAGCAGTTTGTAAGCCCAATTAACCTCTGTGACATTTTTAATTCTAGTTTATGAGCCCACATGTTGAAATCTGGCATGAAATGAAAGGTCACTTCTGTGTATTATCCTTATATAACTTTTTGCTTCAGAGACATGTACCTTTTGGTTCACAAAACACTGTAACACGGAATGCATGAAATGAATTTAAAGGGCATTAAACTTCATTTCAATGTAAAGCGGATTAATAAATTTGCTTACTCCAAGTGCTTTATGGAACATGCTGTCATAAACACAAGAGAAGAATTGGGATGCTGGTTAAAAGGGTGATAATTATAGTGGTGCATTTAATACAGCTATCAAGAGCAAGCCAAAAATAAAAAAGCAAATACTTGCTTTCAAGATAGACAAAAATAGCAAAATTATACACAAAAGCACTGAACTATTTCCGGCAGTTGCTAACAATAATATTGTTAATGCATCATATTTGGTCATTTTGAAGGCTTTTATGGCTGTGTATGTGAGATTATTTCTTTTTAAACTTCACAAACCTGAAAGGTCAGGTTATAACCGTGAAATACTCTGGGTTGTTTTGAACCAGTTATTAAGTGAAATCTTGTATTCCAGCCTCCTTGGTCAAAATCCAAATCTCTTATATTAAATGCACAATTATTTATAATGTCCTGGGAAATGCTGTAATGCTCCGATTTTTGAAAAGTTAAGGACTTGAACAGTGTTTATTATCCATAATGTCATTGCCTATAATGCTGTTTTAGTGAGGAGCATGAACATACTCAGGACCATGTAGAAATCTATATCTTTAGCAGTCTTTTGCATTGTCAGGGAGAAGCTGTAAGTCATACTTATTTCTTTTATTTATTTTCCAGCCAGAAAATTTACAGAAGAATTGGCTTCGGGAATTTTACAAGGTACTGTAAAACTATTTGGTATTGTATTTATGAATGTGTTTAGGTCAGGGGTCCTCAAACATTTAAAGCAGAGAGATGGGTCATGGTCCCTCAGACTGTTGGGGGCCTCCACAATCCAAATAACATTTGTGCAAAAAATACATTTGTTTCTGCTTTCTTCTTTTTCAGACTTCAGCCACTTCATCACACTAGAGAAAAAAAATCCACATAAAATCCGGTTTCTACCTCCTGCAGAATTCTGGGGTTTGTAGTTTAGTGAGGCTGTTAAAAGCTCCTCCCTCAACTACAAACTCCAGAATTCTGCAGGAGGCAGCAACCGGATTTTAAGTGGATTTCTTTTTCTAGTGTGATGTGGCAATAACTCAGAAATATTTCTGTGAATTTGTATTTTGCTTTTGTGTGCAAACAAAATTCCACCTTCCTTTCTGCCTCCTGCTAATGTGTGAGATTTTCAGAAGATGTTCCTCAGTGGTTGTATATTTCTTTTAGTACACAAGTGCTGAGGTGTCTCCTGCATTATTAACTAACAAAAATAGCAAAGTTGTTGAATTTACGTGTCATGATTTAAAATGATTAGGGGAGGCTCTTTCTAACTTTAGTCTCATGTGCTTCTTCTTCCCTTGATTCTCAAGTCCTTTATATTATAATAGTAGTAATAGTAGTAGTAGTAGTAATAATAAAGTGTAGAAAGGACCTGAGAATCGGTGATCGGCACACTGGATGCAGTGCCTAAAGGCCTTTGCCTGTGCTTAACAACAATTGGCGCTGACAAAATTACCATCTGTCACTGCAAAAGGCCACCGTACTCGGATCTACACACATTATTCACCAATACATCACACCGTCCTAGACGCTTGGGAAGTGTCCAACGTATGATCAAATACAAAACCCAATGTAGTGATTTTTTTGCTGTGTACTAATTTTGTTATGTATGTATGTAATAATAATAATAATAATAATTCGCTGATACATCACACAGTTCTAGACACTTGGGAAAAGTCTGATGTGTGATCGAATACAACAGCCAGCATAGTGATCTTGTTTGCTGTGTACTATTCTTGTTGTATACCTAATAATAATAATAATAATAATAATAATAATAATAATAATAATAATTTTATTTCTTACCTGCCTCTCCTCGTGGCTTGAGGCAGGTTACAGAATACTTCAAACTCATAAACATTGAAAAAATACTACAAATACACATATTACAATGTATTTCTATAAAACAGACATATTCAAATGTATTTCTATACAATACGTATTAAAATACACAAAATAGAGATTGAACAAAGGACACACGTTTAAAATTCATGTTTAAAAACTGGGTAGGCCTACTGGAAGAGATAGGTGTTTAGATGGTATTTAAATTCTGACAGCCCATTTAGCCATGTAATCCAAATTCCAACTCTTCCCTGTCACTTCATCCAGATTATCAAAGTAGATAATCCACATTATCTGCTTTGAACTTGATTATCTGAGTCTACACTGCCATATAATCCAGTTCAAGCAGTTTTATTGGCAGGTGGCTCAAAGAGGAGTTTAATAGCTTTCACTTCCATTTGAAACTAACCATTATTTGTGATGTCTGAACAAACGATAGTTACCCTTAATGATGATTTATGAAAACCGACCAAAATGACCTCAGAAGCACTTTATTTTATGGTTCGTGCAATTAAATCCTTCCTCATTCCTGGATCCCCCCCTTCACGACAATTTTACACTGCCCTATCTCCCAGTGTTTTTAAATTTTTAAATTTTATTCTTGAATTGGCCTGCCCAGTGAAACTCCTTTGTGTTTTGATGTTTGATTTTATATTGCTGTGTTGTCTATTATATTGGTTTTTGCATTTTATGTATTTTATTTTTTGTGTAATACTGTGTTTATTGTATTGATGGGTGTGGCCTCATGTGAACTGCCCCGAGTCCCCCTGGGGGAGATGGAGCGGGGTATAAATAAAGTATTATTGTTGTTGTTGTTATTATTATTATTATTATTATTAAACAAGTTCCCTTCAAACTTAGCTTCTTCTCACTAACCATGGTTACAAGTTACCGTCAAATGAGCTTCTTCTCATTAATCGTAGTTAATCTCAGGTTTAAGGGATGAATGTAATACTAAATTCTGGTTAATCTGAAACAGTGAAAGTTTTCAGTCTTCTTATTGTCTTTCAGTAAGAGGGAAAGTGGTGTTGTGCAAACCCAGGTTTTGTAGCCTGTCTCATAGTATATGGCTATTCTTTTTAACATGTGATAGTCTATTACTGGATCCACACTGACAGGTAATCCGTATCATCTGCTTTGAAAAGGGTCATATGAGGCTGGATCTACACTGCCTTATATCCCAGGATCTGTTCCCAGATTATCTGTTTATCCTAGATTATTTGGCAGTGTAGACTCACATAATCCAGTTCAAATCAGATAATCTGGGTCAGGTCCTTGGATATAGGGCAGTGTAAGTGCAGCATGAGTCTGCTATATAATCCAGTTCAAATCAGATAATCTGGATTTTATATGCCGGTGCAGATGGGGCCTAGGACAGACCTGCACAACTTGGCAGCAGGTAGGGGCCAAAATTACAATAGGCTAAACTTCTTGGAGCTGAATAAAACGTAGAATTAATGCGATTTAGCACCCACTTTAACTGCCATAGCTCAATGCTGAAGTACTGAATGCTGAAGTATTTGCATTGGATACAGTTCATGGATTACCATATGAACATTGTTTTCATTTATAAAAAAATATTATAAGATTGAGAAAAGTCCACTGTTCATACATGTTTGGAAAAATCAGTATTTGTTTATTGTCAGATTACTGCTCTTGGAGATATCTCACCATATGTCAATAGAAAAGAGTTGGAAAATGATTACAGATAGCTTGCTCTGTGAAGTTAAAACCAAGATAACCACAAACCGCATTTTTTTCCATCCCTTCTGAGGAATGCAATTTACATATATAGTTATGTCAACATAATTTTCATAACCTCTTGTTAACCGAAAGTTGAACAGTCTTTAAGTAGCATACACCCTCTGAAAAAGAGGAAGAGTTCTTAATGGTGTTCTGAAGTATTTCTAGAAAGTACAATGTTTTCTGCTTTTGACTCAAAAATGCCTTTATTTCCTTTTTTGATAGCCGTGTTGACATTGCTACTCACTTTCGCTGTGTTCTAAGCAATGTTTTGAATATTCGTAGTTAATGTCTCATTTCTTCATTTTCCTGTTTTGAAGCAAATTTAAGTCTCTGAAAATTCTGCGGTAGGATATATAAAATGTATTCGCACTATATTTTAATTCAATTTTTTAAAAAAATAATTTTTATTAGTAAGTTACACAAAATAGCATAAAATGACATAGAAAGATATAGTATATAATTATATACTACTATAAAAAGGGGAGGGGGAAAAATAGAAAAATAAAAATATGACTTCTGTTCTTCCTCCTTTTGCCATTTATTGATTTATATTATGTTTCCATGTTTTTCTAATAATAAGGGGAAAAAGAAAAGAGCTTTTCCCTCCATCTTCCATTTGAATTATCCTCATTCTTTATCTTTAATGTCCATTTTTCATATAACCATATTTTAATTCAATTTTAAACACCACAAGAGTTTGTGTTTATAAGATGTTCAATCAAAAGTATGCCCCCATTCACTCCAGGTTATTTCCATGTAAATGTGTGCAGGATTGGAAGCTGTTTTGCTAGATTCATGAATGGAAAACAAAAGGAGAAGGAACTGTAATGTGACAAAAATCCCATGATAAAGGGTGGGATAAAAATATTTTAATTCAGAAACAAAACAAATGCTCCAGAGGCCTCAAGCAGCAACTCCACCCAGTATTTCAGCTTTCGATCCAAGACATTCATGGCTACCCCCAAAATGCAGGAGACATCTGATGGTTCAAGTACCATCCCGTCAGCAGAACCCATAATCTACTAGCAAAACAGCAGTTCTGCCACTTCCTGTGGCCTTTTGGCACTTGATTGTATCATGCATCTCTTCTAGTAAAGTAATTTTCCATATCAGTTAAAAGCCATAGCTTTGAAGCAAAACGTTTTACATGATGCTGAACACCAATATTATAGCAGCCATCAGAAAAGAGATGTGCACTCTAGAGCTGCAAATAAATAAGTGAAATATTTTTCATAAGACTGTGGCCTCTTCTAAACTGCCATATAATCCATATTATCTGAGTCAGCCTTTCTCAACCTGGGAGTCGGGACTGCTGAGGGGGTCACGAGAGGACCGGGGGTGGGAGGTTGCGAAGGGGGCGTCAGGGATCGCCAAAGACTATCAGAAAACACAGTATTTTCTGGTGGTCATGGGGGTTCTGTGTGGGAAGTTTGACCCAATTCTATCATTAGTGGGGTTCAGAATGCTCTTTGATTGTAGGTGAACTATAAATCCCAGCAACTACAACTCTCAAAGGTCAAGGTCTATTTTCCCCAAACTCCACCAGTGTTTACATTTGGGCATACTGAGTATTCATACCAAGTTTCATCCAGATCCATCATTGTTTTTTAGTCCACTGTGCTCTCTGGATGTAGGTGAATTACAACTCCAAAACTCAAGGTCAGTGCCCACCAAACCCTTCCAGTATTTTCTGTTGGTCATGGGAGTTCTGTGTGCCGAGTTCAGTTCAATTCTATTGTTGGTGATGTTCAGAATGCTCTTTGATTTTAGGTTAACTATAAATCCCAGCAACTACAACTCCCAAATGACAAAATCAACCCCCCTCCCCCAACACCACCAGTATTCAAATTTGGGCATATCGGGTATTTGTGCCAATTTGGCCCAGTGAATGAAAATACATCCTGCATATCAGATATTTACATGACAGTTCTAAATAGTAGTAAAATTATAGTTATGAAGTAGCAATGAAAATAATGTTATGTAGTGCTGAAGGCTTTCATTGCCGGAATCACTGGGTTGTTGTAGATTTTTTCGGGCTATATGGCCATGCCTCTAGAACATGGCCATATAGCCTGAAAAAACATACAACA